AAGGATTACTGGAGCAAGGTTGGAGGGAGATAGCAGGGCCATTGCCAGTGCTATTTTGAGCATCTCTGTCCATTCTTCCATCTTTTCTTCCATCCTTCCTTCCTGTCTTCTTTTAGATTCCACCGTCCAGTGTTATAACTACTTCCTTGCTTCTCTTTCCCTTCTTTGTACTTGCCCGACAAATGCTAACCCTAGTTAAACCCAGCTTCCTCTTTACTTCATGTCTGTATCTGAAGAGCTGAATATTGCTGGAGAAAAATCACTCAACCGTGCTAACCGAATTACTTCACATTGAGTCTCAAACACTCACCCCTGCAAACCACCCCACTATACTTCATGGCAAAATCACTTTCTTATGCTGGACCAAGACAACCTCTTTGTATCTTCTTCCCTTTCCTTAAATCTCCAGCCTCTTAACACATTTCACAGAGAAAGCAGATTGCAATCAGAAGAGAACTACCTCGTCTTCCCACCTTCACTTCCACTAGCCTGCCTGCATCTGTGGCCCTCTATGCAGCCTTCCTTCCTCTGACAGTGGAGGATGGCCCCACACCCAGCCCCTGCACTGGGCTCTGACTCCTGTTTCCTCTTACTAAAGGACTTTGCTCTTCCTTTTATCCCCATCTCTCCTGCATTATTTGTTTTCTTCTTCCCACTGACTCATTCCCACCAACATAAAAACATGCCTTAGTATCATCCATCCTGAAAAATAAACCAAAAGTTCCCTTGACCCCATGCCTATGTCCTGCTACCACCTCATGTCTCTGCATCGCTTCTTGGCAGAAATCCTCAAAAGAACCACGGACATCCACTTACTCCACTTCCTCAGCTCCTGCTTTTTCCTGAATCTGTTAACATGGTCTATATGATGTCATCATCTACTCAGTTTTTTAGGCCCAAATCTCAGAGTCATACTTGAATTCTCTTTCTTTTCTTATATTCCATGTCAAGTCCTTTGATAAGCCCTGTCAATTGTACCTTTAAAGTACTCCTGAGTCCTTTTTGCCATTTCCTTTGCTATAACTCTAGTTCATTTTAGGCCATGTTGTCTTTCTACAGCTTCCTAACTATTCTCATAATTTCCACACTTGCCTCCCTAAATCCATCCTGCAAATAATAGGATGATCCCTTTAAAACATAAATCATGTCATTCTTTTCCTTAAATCCCTTTATTGTCTTTCCACTGAAACTAAAATGAAATCCAAACTCCTTCCCAGAGCCTACAAGGCCCTACATAGCCTAGAGTTCTGCAACATCATCTCTATTCACTCACCTCCTTACTCACTGTTCTCCAATGACACTGGCCTTCCACTGTCCCTCAGACACACCCAGCTCCTCCCCATCTCAAGCCTGTGCACCTACCTCTCCCTCTTGGAACAGCCACCAGGTCTCAACTCAGATGTCCCCTCCTCAGAGCTGCCTTCCCTGTCCACCCTAGTAAAAGTACCTCCCCCTACCACTTTATGTCATATTATGCTATTTTATCTTCATCATGGCCTTTATCAGTCTCTAGAATGATCATATATACTGAATATTTTTATTATCTATCTCTCCTCCACTAGAAAGTAAGGTGTCCTGGTCATAGAAACCTTATTTATCTCTACCTTACTGCTGTATGCATAGCTCCTAGAAAAAAAATTCACAGCCAACATATGGTAAGTGATTAATAAATAGCTATTGACCAACCGAGAGATACTCTCATAGAGATGTATAGCTGGCAATTGGATAAATGGGTCTGAAGCTCAGAAGAGAGAAAAAACTTGAAGTTGGACATGAGATTTGAGAGTTGTCTGTTCTTGGGGGTGGCTGAAACTGTCAGAATCTGAGTTATCTTTGGAAAGTTGTAGAGCCAAAGACACAACAGAGAGAACTTACATTTCATATGTAAGCATGAGAAGAGGAGTCAGTACAAGAGATTCCAGGAAACAGAGAGGAAAGGAGAAGCAGAAGAGAGTGGGGAGTGGGTTGCTGCAGAAGGCAGTGCTTCTCAAGCTGTCTATGAAAGACCTGTCTCTTTGTTGTTTTAATTTGCAGTCTGTCATGGACTCATACTTGAGTAAAATACAATAAAAATTAATGATTAGAAAAACGATATTTTTAAAGGCATGTTAAATACAGGCCCAAATCTGTCATTACATTCAGTAGACATAAAATTACTCTGAAAAGTTGCTATAAAAGTTTCCATTGAAGGTTGGGCATGGTGGATCATACCCATAATCCCAGCACTCTGGAAGGCCAAGGTGGGTGGATTGCCTGAGCTCACAAGTTCAGGACCAGCCTGAGCCAGAGTGATAGCTCATCTCTAAAAATAGCTGGACGTTGTGGCAGGCGCCTCTAGTCCCAGCTACTTGGAAGGCTGAGGCAAGAGAATCACTTGAACCCAAGAGTTTGAGGTTGCTGTGTGCTGTGACACCATGGCAACAAAATGATACTCTGTCTCAAAAAAAAAAAAAAAGTTGCCATTGACTTAACTCTCAATTACTGTACTTATCTCAATTACTGAACTAGTAGCAAAGTTCACCAGCTGGCACCAGTGCATGGACCATACTTTAAACTTCACTGCTCTGCTAGTACTCCTAGGCAGAGGGGAGAGAAATGAGCAAAATATAGCCTCTACCCTCAAGTAGCTTAAAATCTAGTGGGGTAGACAGTCTGGGACACGTAATAGTCATTCTGCACGGCAGCGGTCAAAGCACTACCAATATAATGTAGGCTTTGGGGACTGTGATCTGCCCTAGCTCTGCCACTATCTCACTCCTGTAGATCATGACCCCTGTCTGGCATCATTTTTTTCATCTATAAAATAAAGAGATCGTGTCAGATGATTGAACACTAAGAGTTCTTATTGTTTGGACACAAATGCCAAAAACCTTTCATCTTTTCAATTGTCTAAAGAAAGGATGGGAAGAGATTACTAATGAGCATAAGGTTTATTTTGGAGATGATGAAAATATTCTTAAATTAGATTATGGTGATGGTTTTACAACATTGTAAGTATACTAAAAAATCATTAAATTGTATACTTTAAATGGGTGAACTTTATGGTATGTAAATTATATCTCAGTAAAGCTGTTAAAGAAGAAAAAATCCTCCATGCCACTCAAAACCAAAAAATAATTGGTTTTGGACTTGGATGGGTGACTGCCCAAAAGCAGACTAGAAAGCCAGGAGGACCTGATCATCCAATAGCTAATGTGGCACACCACATAAGCTCATAGACATTGTATATGGCAGTCTCCTTTTAGAGAATACAGTTAAAGGCCAGGTGCAATGGCTCACATCTGTAATCCTAGCACTCTGGGAGGCTAAGGCAGGTGGATTGAGTTCAGGAGTTCAAGACCAGCCTGAGCAAGAGTGAGGTTCCATCTCTACTAAAAATAGAAAAACTAGTCAGACATCATGGCAGGTGCCTGTAGTTCCAGATAATCGGGGAGCTGAGGCAAGAGGATCACTTGAACCCAAGAGTTAGAGAGTGATGTGAGCTATGATGATGCCATGGCACTCTACCCTTATCTGTAAACCTCTCTCTTGCCCTTACTGATCTTTTTATTGACTTTCTATAATTATTTTAATAAATATGTATTGCCTTCTCCATCCTTGCGACGTTTAAAGTCTGGCAGAGTAGAGACATTAGACAAATAATTACAAAATTATTAGCTAATTATTAGCTAAATTAATATCTAATAATGCTCTATAAATATTATTAAGGAAGAGTAGAAGGTACTATAAGGGCATAACAGGGACTTAATCTAGTCTGAAGAGGGCTGAGGGAAGTCTTTCCTGAGAAAATGGCATTTACATTGAGACCCAAAATGTGGATGGTGTTACCCAGTCATTTAGCTTGAGAAAATTCTATGGAGAGGGGTGGCCATTAGTTATCCAAAGGGATCTAGGAGTCTAGGCAGGGGCATTTCAGAGAATGGGGGAGTTCCATGGTATGATAATTGTAGTTCATGTGTTAGATCCGGTCTGGAAGGAGCTCTTAGTGACCCAAGTCCTCCCCTCAGCCACTTACCCAGTACAGAATGAGAAACTGTCCTTGCTTACCCCCAGAAAAAGGTTATTTCTGTATCCAGGCTCCTGTGAACAGAGAAGCACTGCATGGTTGAGCTGGAGATGAAAGCCTGGTCACCAGAGCCCGGTCACCAGAGCCCGTGCTCTCCAGAGCCACCAGCCATCCAGGCACCCGCATTTCATCAAGACTTTAATGGGCTCCAAGCAGTCCTCAGATGAGCCTGGCTGGTATCCGGCATGACCTCATCTCTGCCAACAGTGGCAGCTGGAGGCCAAAGCTCCTGGGTGAGGGAAAGGTCAACTTTGGCTGAGCCAGGACTGTTCTGTGTCCTCTGCTGTCCTCCACCTGCCCTGCGCCTGAATAGGACTCAGATTTTCCGAGGCAGGGCTAAGTGCCCTTTGCCAGCCCACTTGTGTCCCCTCCAGTGCGTGTGCTCCTAGGCAGAGTGCTCAGATAAAGGGCAATACTGGAGCTTTTTAAGAAAGGGGAATGTTGCCAGGCACAGTGGCTCATACCTGTCGTCCCAGCCACTCAAGAGGCAGAGACTGGAGAATCACTTAAGCCCAGGAGTTCCAGTGCACTCCAGCCTGGGCAACAGAGTGAGATCTTGTTTCTTAACAAATAAAAAAAGGAAGGAATGTCAGTACGAAGGTCAGGGCCTGCAAAATAACAGCAAAGCCCCCATCCTAGTGTAAGACTGGGGATGGCCAGAACCAAGTTCCCTTCCCAAAAGGAGTTTGTTTCTAGCATTCATGTGCTATCTTCCTCTGTACAGAAGCCTGGCAGTGTCCTGGGAAGAATGCATGGCAGGGATGTTCTCTATAAGTTTGTACCCAGACTCCTTCCTGAACTGCATTTTATTTTCTTTTATTTTTAATTTTCACTGTGGTCATGTCATCATCAACAGGGTCTCACAGCAGCACGCACCTCCCTAAAATTCCCGCCTGCCTACCCATACCCACTACCCCTCGCCCCTTACCCCCAGCTCCGGGTCCCTGGCCCCACTTCACCTGCCATGTTTTCATAATTCTCTCAGGCTCTGGGTAAGCAGCAAGGGAACCTGATTGTATATGGAAAATATTGCAGGCCCATTTGAGGGCTGTATTGAGGACCTGAGAGCAGCCTAAACTACCATGCTCCCTGCACTCGAGCAGACACCACCTCCCCAGCCAGGTACCCAAACCCGCTCCTGCTCCTGGCCTGAACTCCATGTTAGAAATGAATTTTCTTAACTATAACAGAGTAAAGAAGCTTGCCCCTTGAGAAGTTTTTCAGGGATCCCTTCTGAAGTAATAGAACTCTATGGATTAGGAAGCGCTGACAAGGTCAGGGAACCTGACATGTGGTTCTGCCACTAATTCTACCTTACTGTAGGACCTCTAGCAAATCTTTCCCCCAGCTTCAGTTTCTCCATCTGTAAAATAAGATAGTTGGACTGCCGTCTCAAAACTTCTTTCCATTTTAATCAGAATATTTTATGATTCTGAATGAATACTTGCCCTCTGATTTATCTAGTCACATATCTAAGTGTTTATATTCATTCAACAACTATTAATTATTTTCCTGCAGCTAAACACCACCATCCCTATTCTAGGTTCCTCTGATGCATGCTTTTAAAGCATTCTATATCATTTCTTTATCACTCTTACCACAGGTACAGAAGGTGCCGAAAATATATACACATTTTAAGAAAGGAAAAACTGTATTAAAATTGTTTTGTTTTATTTTTTATGAGGAAGAGTCTTACTGTGTTGCCCTCGGTAGAGTGCCGTAGTGTCACAGCTCACAGCAACCTCAAACTCTTGGGCTTAAGCAACTCTCTTGCCTCAGCCTCCCAGGTAGCTGGGACTATAGGCACCTGCCTCAATGCCCCACTATTTTTTGGTTGCAGTTGTCGTTGTTGTTCAGCAGGCCCAGGCCAGGCTGGAACCCGCCAGCCTTGGTATATGTGGCCGGCACCCTACTCACTGAGCTATAGGCACCACCTGTATTAAAATTATAATATCCCAGTCATGTCTAACTTCTGTGGTTATAAGAGATACAAGATACAATCTACACAATAACAAGTATTATCAGTATATATTGAGTATTAACAATTTTAATACAGGTTTTTCCTTTGTTAAAATGTGTATACATTTTTAGGCACACTGTATTAGTAGTTCTATAGTTATCTGATTAACGAATGTATCTCTCCCTTCACTTAGCAATGAGTTCCCAGAAGGTAAAGTCTGGATCTGGGATGCTTATGCTCCCAGCACCTCATGCTGTCCTTAGCACATGGTAGGTGCTCAGTAAATATATGTTGGATAAGTTAATTTGTAAATGGACAGGTAGACTATAAACAGGCAGGGAGAAGGAAGGAAGACTTCAGGTGAGGCAGCAACAGAAATGAGCTTTGCATTTTATTTAGAGACTTGGAGGAAACTGGCGAACTGCTAGATGATGGGGTAGGAAGACTTGGGTGTGGAGGTCCCTGGGGACAAGACAGATCTCATACTTAATTTTATAGTCAATAGAGAGCTCCTAGAGTGATTGTTGTTGTTTTTGTTTGTTAAGTGACCAGAGTAATTTTTATTTTATTTACTTTTTTGAGACAGTCTGACTTTGTCACCCTTGGTAGAGTGCCGTGGTGTCATAGCTCACAGCAACCTCAAACTCTTGGGCTCACGTGCCTCAGCCTCTCAAGTAGCTGGGACTGCAGGTGCCTGCCACAACACCTGGCTATTTTTAGAGATGGGGGTCTCACTTTTGTTCAGGCTAATCTCAAACTCCTGAGCTCAGGCAATCCAGCCGCCTCAGCCTCTCAGAGTGCTAGAATGACAGGTGTGAGCCACTGTGCCTGGCTCATAATGATTTTTACTTCACACAACATACAAGATAAAAATTTCAACTAGCACTAGAGAGTATATAGTGGTGAAAAAGTCACCCTTCTAAACCCGTGGTCCTCATTCTAGAAGGCAACCACTTTAACCTTCCTTATATTATCATCCCTATTGCTGCTGTAACAAGTTATCACAAATATGGTAGCTTAAAACCACACAAATGTATCGTATAGTTCTGAAGGTAAAAAGTCCAAAATTGGTCTCACTGGACAGAAATCAGGGTTTTGGCTGAGCTGCCTTTACCTTTTTGGAGACTCTAGGAAAGATTCTGTTTCCTTGTTGTTCCCAGCTTCTAGAAACTCCCCACATTCCATGTCTTCATGCTGCCCTGTCCATCTCTTCAGAGGCAGCAGTGACTGGTCGAGTCTCTCACACATTTGATCACTCTGACACTAATTCTTCTGCCTTCTTTTACTTAAAAGAACCTTTATGATTATACCAGGCCCACCTGGATAATCCATGGTAATCTCCCCATCTCAAAGTCTGTGAGCTAGTAACGTTAATTCTGACACCTTGATTCCACTTCCTAGTCCCCTAACATATTCACAGGTACCAGGGATCAGAACATGGACGTCTTTGAGGGGGGTTATTACTCTCTACACCACAATCCAAGAGATATTTTATACATGCACTATTTTTAATGCTGTTTTTGAATACTTAACACTTGTGCATAGTATAAAATTCAAGAGTTTTCAGTGAAGTCTTACTCTCACCCCAATTCCAATCAAAGTATTACCTAAATTTTCCACAATATTGTTATTTTTTTCCTCTCTGAATTAATTAGCAATCTCTGACACTTTTAAGACCATGTAAGTATCCTGCTCTTCATCAAAATTTCCCATTAGAATTAAAATCCATTGATAGTTCTTGCCTGAATTGGTCTTTATATGATGGTTACAAAATGAGTATGTCCCATGTTTTCTAATTCCAGCACTCACTCCACATTGACCAGTCGGCACTTGGCATTAGCAAGTACCCTTTCCCCCATTCATCTGTGCTCATTGGTACTTACTGTTTTAATGTTTTATGATCCATTACCATCCTTACTTATCTTGGGGTTAAAATTGCCTCAAATATGGCCAAAGTAGCATATGCCTGTCATTTTTTTCTAGCATTTTCTTATTTTTCTACATAAGAAGAAGGTTCAGGCTCATCTTGTATTTACCTTGCTGCTGCCCTGGAATCAGCCATTTTTTGAGGAGCCGTAGGAGTTTGTATGGGGCAGTTGTATTAGAGACTGAAATCTGAGTTCTAAGTATACTATTCATTGCCTCATCTGTTGACAAAGCCAAGAAATATATATAGATATTTAGAAATACACACATTTAGGCCAGATGCTGTGACTCATGCCTGTGATCCCAGCACTTTGGGAGGCCAAAGTGGGAGGATTGCTTGAGGCCAGGAGTTTAAGAACAGCCTGGTCAACACAGCAAGACCTTGTCTCTACAAAATAATGTTTTTAAAAATTAGCTAGGCATGGTAGTATGCACCTACAGTGCCAGCCAACTACCTGGGAAGCTAAGCCAGGAGGATCACTTGAGCCTTAATTTAGAGGGTGCAATGAAATGTGATCATGCCACTGCATTCTAACCTGGGCAACAGAGCAAGACCCTATTTCTAAAAACGTATACACATACACATTTACATATACATACGTATTCTTATGCACATGCATATTTTAGAAATCATAAGGATGCCATTACCTCCCATTCTAGTTGATTTCAACAGAGTTCTTTTTTGTCTTCACACATTTCATATTCGTGTCCTTCTTCTATAGTAACAAAGCTGGCTGCAACCAGCATGGATGTATTTGCTCATTTGCTCAGTCCTGTAATAAACCTGAAAAAGCTTCAGCTGCTTCGCCCACCACTGTAGAAAGCCTCCTAAAAAAGTTCAGGTCAGAATTTGTTTGCATTTCCACTCCTACTCTATCCAAGGCTAAGGGTCTGTAGTCAAATACTGGATTCCTAAGTTACTTGGGTTCTTCCCCTCGCCCCAATCAGTGTGTTTATGTTGTTCATTTGAAATTCAGTTGGATTAATTTTTAATTTGCTTTCAGCTGTGGGGTTTTTCTCCCCTAACTATCCTGGTTAATTTAATGTTGTTAAATATTAGATTAATATTGTTGTTTGAATATATAGGACATAAACTTGTTTCTAAAAGTCAAAACTACAGAGATATACTCAGAGCAGTAAAACTCTCTCCCTATGTCCCTTTCAACCTTCTTCTGACCCCCTCAGTGAGCCAAGAACCCTTGTAAATAACTGGTCTTATTATTTCCTGATTTATCCTATCTGTGTTTCTTTGTATAAGGAAATATTTGTATGTTTTCTTATTTTGCCTTTCTTCCTACACAAAAGGTAGCATATTATGTATATGTTCTTTCATAGTTTGCTTTTTTTACTTAATAATATTTCCCAAAAATCATTTCATATAAGTTCATAGAGATCTTCCTCATTCTTTTTTACAGGTGCATAATACTCCATTACATGTATGTGTTATATATCCTATGCTTGGAAATTGAGGTTTCCAATACTTTGCAATTACAAATGAGGCAACAGTGAATAACCTTGTGCATGTATATTTTGGCATTTTTGGAGGTGCATCTTTAAAGTATTAGAAGTGGTATTGCTGGGTCCAAGGGTAAATGCATGTGTCCTTTTGTTAGATCAGGGATCCTCAAACTTTTTAAACAGGGGGCCAGTTCACTGTCCCTCAGACCGTTGGAGGGCCAGACTGTGGGCCCCAGGACCAGTTGGCTGCTAAGCAGGACAGGCAGCGGCAGCAAAAACATCCGACAGGCCGGATAAATGTCCTAGGTGGGCTGCATGTGGCCTGTGGGCTGTAGTTTGAGGACGCCTGCATTAGATACTGCCAAGTTCCCCAGCCTGCAAGTTGTACCGTCTTACATTTCCATTAGCATCACATGAGAGGGCCTGTTTTGTTCCTCACAGCTTCCACGGCGGAATGTATTGGGAAGCTTTTGGATTTTTGCTACTCTGAAAGTGAGAAATAGTATCTTGGTAGTTTCAGTTTGATTCTCTTATGAGTGAACTTGAAGACCATTTTATATTCATCTTTATATTCATATGAAGAGCATTTTTATATCACCTTTTGTGAATTGTCTATTTGTGTTTTTTGCCCATTTTTCTATAAAACTATTGGTCTTCATTTTATGAAGTCCAATCCATTCATTTGTTTTTGATGAATCCTCAATTCTGGGACAAACATGGTAAA